ACGAAAGTGCAAAATAATATAAATAAGAGAGTGATTTAATGATGTCTAAAATGTGAGGTTTTCAGTGTAATGAACCAAATATCCAAATTTATTTTTTTAATAATTGTAAAGGAGTTAAGAAATGTGTTGTTAATGAGTTATGTTTATTGATTATTGGTTTTACCAATTAATAGGAATTTCTGTTAAATTGGTTGATGACAAACACTAAACAACAAAATAAAATTATTGTGTACCCACAGCCAACTTGAATATTATACATAACTCATTTCTTGTTAAGGACCAAGTCAGACTAATACAAAAAAGATAATTCATTGTTTTGTCCATTCATTAACTATTAAATTACTGTTCTTTTATGCTTCAATAAGTCTTATTAAAATAGTCTAATGCCAGACATATGGATTTGTAAATCATAATCATTTTAATATTTAACAAAATGAGTTGGAACTAATTCAATAAATAATTCAATCAATGATGCTATGTTAATAAACAAGGAAAAAGAATTGATTGAATGAATGAATAACTTTTCTTTTGAAGAATGAGGATTAAATGAAGATGTACAATGAGTTAGTAGTTCGATATGAATTTAATACTATCCTATTTAATGATGAAGGTATATAATAATTATTCATTAAAACTAACTCATAAGAGACGAATAATTTCATACTGATTCATTCATTTTCACATAATAAAATTGGTCATAAACAAAAGAGGTTCTTATTTGGTTTATTGTTTTAATTATAAAGAAGAATTGATGTTATTTGGAGTGCTAATCATTTGGTTCATCGTCTGATGTTCTTTTAAAAAGACAAATGATAAAACATTAAAACTATCTCAAAGAATAAATTGAGTAATATATTTATCATTAGTCTCATAATCAATATCTCTATTTTCATCTTCACACCTTTTAAACATAGTGCATATTGTTTGACAATTGTGGTTTGCAATAAAAATGTTTTTTACTGTATCAAACTCATCAGAATATTGAATGAAATAATATTTACTTGGTTTACTATGAATAACTTCTGCTTTAATTATCGTATATTCATTATTTGTTAGTATAACAAATACATTTTTCATAATCATCAAATCACTAATACTTTCTGTGGTTTGACACCACAGAAAATGGTTGAATGCTTCTATACTTAAAATACCTCCAGAAACATCCATATTTTTTATTCCTGACGTATCTCTAATTCCACTTCCTTCCTCATTGATTGCTTGAATCAATTGTGTTTCTGCTTCTTCATGATAGATTTCAATTATCATTTTTTCTTTTTTATCAATGAAAGCCTTCACTTCTTTAAGTAGGAATATGTCTCCTTGAATCATTTGATTTGTTACAACAAACATCTGACTTCCTTCACACTTCACTCGTTTCATTCGATGTACCTTCTCGTCTTTAAGTTGATTATTATACATGTCAACATATTTATTGTATTGTTCTGATGCTTTGACTAATAGTCCAATGGAGTCAAGATAATCCAAATAACTTTCATTATAAAAATATTCACTTTTTTTGTATTGTTTGATTATAATAGGAATGTCATTGTTATCAACCTTCAGATTTCCTTTGATAGCAATTCTTTTTCCTTTATCACTGATAATGTTCTTCATTGTAACTTGACATGGTGTAACTTTGTATTGTTTTGTTCTACTTGCAAATATTCTCATCTTCTCATATTCCTCAAATATTGGAGTGATAAGAACTCCTTCGAGGTTTGTAACTTCCTCCATATAATTTCCTAGTGTGTATGATGAGGGAATTAGTCCATTTTGAAGTATTGCTAAATCATTATAATTTAGCATTACAAATGGATCATCATAGTGTTTAGTAGGAGAAATGCATTGGAAAATAAAATATGGTTTTTGATTGAGATTGTTAATGATAGTGTTTTTCATTTGATCGTTAATTTCATAATGATAGGAGTATTGCAATACTAAATCACATTTAGGGGGTATTTTTGTTAGTGTAAATTGAATAGTTGGAAAAATGTAACTAAAGAACCTTTGTTCTGGATAAACTTGAATGCTTTGTTTTATTATTTCAATAAAATTATCAAATGACTTTCCTTGACAAATTATTTTTTCTGTTTGTTTCTCTTGATATGTCATGAGAGTATAACTTGACTCTTTACCAATTCCTTTCAAATACAAATCAATTAGTTCAAGTTGTTTACTAATTGTTTCTCCCATACTAACTATTTTTTCATGTTGTTGTAGAATGACAAGGATTTCTGTTGGTTTTGTAGTTCTAATATAATCAACTAATTTTCTTGTTCTTGACATTGCTTCATCGTTATCAGTGAATTCTGTGATTGATTTAATCATTATAATTCTTTTTTCACTCTCATTTAACTCTTCAAAACTAACTTTTTTAGAATTAATTGTAGTGCTACTTTGAATCATGTATTTTTCTTATTTCGATTTTTTAGTTCTTTTTTTCTTTTATTACTCAATCAGATTTATTGAATCATTTTCATTCAGTATTTCTTTGTATTTGTTTTATATCTATAACTTATTTATTCATTTGTTTATTGTTATTTTCACTTGAATTGTATTGATTTATTGAATTAATTCACTATGTTTTGAGTTTCATAACTGATAAACAAAAACATTTACTCATCATCTAATAACTCATAAACACATACAAACTGTTGTTGTAATTTATTGTCATTGTTTTTTTTGTTGAACATACTTAGTTTTGTATTTTGATACTAGCCAAAATAGACTATGTAATATGTCATATTCATTAAAATTTATAATGTTAACTGATATACAATTTAATACAACAAAGTTACTATGTAATTACTATTCAAGTTAACAAGAATTTTGAAAATCTTCATTCAATGAAGACATTAATTTATATTTCATAAGTGAATGAATGAAACAAATGTTTATGATTCTAATAAATGATTAAAAGTGTAATTAATAATGATAAATATCACTTCAAATCTAATTTAATTAAACACCATACAAAATAAATAAAATTGAACATTGTCAAACAATTAATTTGAATATTCAATTAACAAGTAAATGAAATGTGAATAGAAAGATGGAATAACCAAGTATGTTATAGACTAAAAAGTTAATTTTTGATTTATTTAGAATAATACAATTAAAAATAACTGTAAAACAATAAAAGACACACAAATTTCATTCGATTGTAATGAAAATAAGAGAGTTACTATTAACAAGTATTTTATAATGTCTCATATAGAAACAGTTGATGAAATACAAATCAAAACAATAAGATAAGATAAGAAATAAAAAATAAAATAAAATAAAAATATCATTAAACCATAAAATGAAAGATATAATAAATTATTAATCATCTTTTTGTTTTAATAAATGAGTACTTGCATTTAAAGTAAACATATAATCAGCATATCGAGTGTAGAATATTTGAGAAATGTATTTTCCTCTTTTTATTTTTTGTGCAGTAGTTAGTTTATTATGGTCTCTAACTCCAAAAAATTTCAAAATTGAATTGAAAATCAAAGGAATTGGAATGAAATGATTCAACAAACTGAATGCAGAAACAATAACAATACAAACAGGGAAGAAATCATTGAAACTATTTTGACCAAAGAATGGAATATCTTCCATTGAAGACATTACTGATTGAAAAGCAGTTTGTGTCCCATTGAAATGAACGCCATCAAATTTGATCATATGAAGAATATTTAATGCTAAAGGTGCACATAAACGACATAAATATGCTGCAGAAAAAAGCATTGACCCAGGATCAGATAAACGATTATTAAATAATTGATAATAATCAAATAATTTCATTGATATTAATGTTTGATAAACACACCAAGCAATATAAATAACAAAAACAGTAATTACAATAAGTAAAAAGGCACAAAAATTAGCAATGAAAAATGCATCTAAATAATTTACAAAAATGAAAAAAGATGCAAAAATATTTTGCATCCATAGAATTTTCCATTTATTATATTTTGCTCCTAAAAAAAATAAAAAATAAAAAATATGATAAATACAGAATATGTAAATATTTATGTTTATATTTTATAATCATTTATATTCATTTTGTATGAAATATTAATGAAATAGATTATTTGATGAATCATAATTATTTTTATTATTTTTATTATTTTATTTATATGTTATTTATCTATCGTATTTTTATATATATTTCTCTGTTTATATTATTTATATCATTGTATTCTTCTTATTATCTATATATTATTATATTATTCTTATTTTATGTTTTTTATGTTTATATTCTTTAGATTTTCTTATTGTTATTCTTTTCTATTTAGTTGTATTTTATTATTTGAATATTCATCCTTATCATTTTTATATTATTATCATTTATATCTATTTTCATTTTATATTTATTCTCTTTTGTTTTATCTTTTATCTTTTATATTTTATACTTGTTATTTATTATTATATCATTGATTATCATTTCTCCTTTTATTTATCATTTATTCTTATTATTCTTTTGTTTTATATTCTATCTATGTTATATATTCATATCATTTTCATTTATATTTTATCACTTATTATATGTTATAATAACATAACACATATGATTGATTATATAATAAATATCATGATGAAATTATACATATAAATAATAAACATAAAAAAGAGTAAAATATTTTTCATTAATAAAATATTGTTAATCATTTTACATCATTAAATTAGATACTTTTTATTGAATATTTCTAATTTTTACAATAAAAATACACTTTTTATTTCTTCTTTTCTTCTTTTATTATCTATTCTATTTTATTACTTTTTATATTCTTTCTTTTTATCTTCTTCTACTTTCTTTATCTTCTTTCATCATTTTCTTTTTATTCTTTTTATATCTTTCTTTACTCTTTTCTCTTATTTGATTTTTTCTTTGACAATAAATTCCATTTTCATCAATTTTTATAGTTTCTGATTTTCATTTTATTAGTTTTGAATAATTATTATAACAATATTCAATAATGTGAATTTAAATAATACTTCGTTTATCATTTATAATTCTTCAATTCTGTTGTTTATTAATTTTATTTCACTCATCATTATTTTCTAATATGTTCATGTAGATGAAACTCGAAGACAACATTTCAGAAACACCATATAATCATTCAAATGAATACAATATTCAAAACACAAGCTGTTTTCTGTCTCTGATGTTTCCTTTAGTGAGACAATGTTCGTTCAAGAGTAATTGATTGTTATTGACCAATATTTATTATGCATAATTATTAAGGAAATTTGTTTGCTTCAGTATATATTATTATGGATGTATTATTTATTAAGACATAACACCTTGCAAAATACTTCTCCACATTTTATTTGATTTTAGTTTTGTCTTATTTCGTACTTATTTTGTTCTTTTTACATGTAACAACTTCTCAGTCAATATACTCAGATTCTAAATTATATCAATTCATTTTTTCTCTTTTGAATTGTCAATTCGACAAGTTATA